GACAGGCTGGTAACTCGGTGGAAGAGGGAGGAGGGAGAAAAAACAAGGGAGCCAGAGCAGAAGAGAGTGGGAGACAGGGGGACAGAGAGAGAGAGAGTGTTGGAGAGAGGGAGAGCCAGAGTGCGGGAAAGATGGGCTCACTGCTTCAGGGTGGGGCGCACCTCGTGACAAAAATGGGCCACTTGACCTTGTGCTGTGTTCCCTTGTTCTGAAAGATATGGTGAGGCCATCTGACCTTGTGCTGTGTTCCCTTGTTCTGATGGATGTTGTGAGTCTGTGTGAGTGCACACACATGCACATGTGGTTTGTGTGTCCACATAGACGTGAGCGTCTGTGGCATAGCGTGCACCCCGTCTGCTGGCCTATGCATGGAAGTGCACAGACGGGTCTCCAAGGACCTAGGGACTAAGCGTGTGGAGAACCATGTGGAGTGGCCTACGTACGTCCTCAGCCCCAGTGTCACCTCTTCCATGTGCCTTGCCCCCCATTCGTTCACCCTCCTCTCCCTGTGGTGGCATTATCACCTTTCTTGGTCAGTCTCTGTTTACCTGTCCCTGTCTCTGCCTCTATTGAGAGCTTCCTGCAGGGGAGTCCACATCCTTGTCATCCCTGTACTCTTGGGAGCAAGATCAAGGCTTGGTGGGGCAGGTGATCAATAAATGCTGATGACTGATTGAGTATATTTGTGTGAATGGATCTACTTCCAGAAGTGTGTGTGGGTGTATGTATGTGCATGCACATGTGCACACATGGGAACATGTATGTGGCCATACACACATGCACATGCACTGTGGGGTGTGGATGTGTCTCTAAGATGTCCATGAGTGAGCCTCTGGGCACACACCATGCCCACAGAAGGATGTGATGCAGTGATATGCTGGCAAATGTTTAACAACTGACTCTTCATTGAAAAAAAAAAAAAAGCCCTGGGGCCAGGCAAGGTGACTCACCCTGTAATCCCAGCACTTTGGGAGTCCAAGGCAGGTGGATCATGAGGTCAAGAGATCGAGACCATCCTGGCCAACACGGTGAAACCCAGTCTCTACTAAAAATACAAAAATTAGCTGAGCGTGGTGGCGCACACCTGTGGTCCCAGCTACTAGGGAGGCTGAGGCAGGAGAATCACTTGAACCCGGGAGGCGGAGGTTGCAGTGAGCCAAGATCGCACCACAGCACTCCAGCTTGGCAACAGAGTGAGACTCCATCTCAAAAAAAAAAAAAAAAAAAGAAAGAAAGAAAAGGAAAAGTAAGCCTTGATTAGCAGCATTTGCCCATTGCTGCCGTGTAAATATTCCCACCATGGCCGGCTTCAAGCTGCTGATGTGGCGTCACGGAATATGGAGTTAGCTGGGAAGGGATACACATAACTGGCTCACATGAGCCCATAGGAGTTAGGAGTTGGCTTCAGTACACGGAAGGATTCATGTCTGTGGCTGCCCAGCCTGTGGTGGGCAGGGGAGGCAGGGCAAAGTTCCTCTGGTGATGGTAATGCTTCTTTCCAGAGCTGTGCCCTGGGGGACCAGGCAGTTGGTGGCTGCCAGCCAGCTTTCGCCGAGCGGCCTTAGAAGTCAGTCTAAACCAATACTCCTTGTTAGGCAGGTCTAGATACTCACCAAGACAGAAGTGCCTTCCCTCACTCCCTGCAGATGCTTTGAAGTTTTTGGATTTGGTGAGGTCAGCATGACTGCAAAGAGGAATTGCTAAGCCTGAAGCATGAATGGAAGAGGGAAAAGGAGGAATGCTTCAAACCTCCATCTGAGGCAGGTGACCAGGGATGCTGGAAGGTCTGGAGGCTTGGGCCTAGTGCCTGCTTGAAGCCGATTCACTGTGCAAGCCTGGACACATCGCTTGCCCTTGCTGGCCTCCAACTGTGACTTTCTTCCATGAAGGGAGAGGTCTTCTGAGCTCCATAGCCTGTCACTGACTCTCTGGGAGTCGGTCCTTAAACTGGGCTCTGAGTGTTAAAATCTACATTCAAAAGCCAGAGAGAGGCTGTGTTGGCCTTAGACAAGAGCAAGAGGGGATCCTGCCCTGGCCCTTCTCAGACCAAGCCCTTTCCCACGTGGGGAGGAATTCACAGGCCAAGGCGATGTGCTCACCCCAGGCCCTACCCTCTTCTAGACACTTGTCTGATGCTTGCTAGTTTAGAATTTCTGCTCCAAGAGTCCTGCCAAGCTGGCTTCCAGGGCTAGCTGCCATCTGTCCTCCTGAGGATCTATGTCCTCCTGCCTTAAGCAGTGGTTTTGGGGAAGCTGGGTGTGCAGGCTGGGATGGGTGCCCACTTTGTGGGAGATGCCCTGAACGTGCTGAGTGGAGCTGGAAGTGGGAAAGGAAGAGGGGTGGGTCATGGGCAGGGAGCTGTGGTCTAGGCTTCCGGGGTGGACTTGCCCCATGCTGCTACTTTAAGGAGCAGAAGGCAGAGGAGATTGAGAATTCTAAATTCAAACCTAACACTTTAGGTTGTCGCAAGGACATATTTGCCAGGACAGAGGATAGACCATATTTTAAATTTTTATTTTGTTATTTTTTTGAGATAGAGTCTTGCTCTGTCACCCAGGCTGGAGTGCGGTGGTGCCATCTCAGCTCACTGTAACCTCCGCCTCCTGGGTTCAAGCAATTCTTTGCCTTAGTCTCCTGAGTAGTTTGGATTACAGGCCCCCACCACCATGCTTGGCTAGTTTTTGTATTTTTAGTAGAGGTGGGGTTTCACTATCTTGGCCAGGCTGGTCTTGAACTCCTGACCTTGTGATCTACCCTCCTCGGCCTCCCAAAATGCTGGGATTACAGGCATAAGCCACCGCACCCGGCTGATAAACCATGTTTTTAAGGTGGTTAGTTTGATGTGCAGCTGTGAAATCTTCAGACTTAAGTTATGGAGAGTGAGCCTCCCTTTCTACTCTTGCCCTGGACCCCACAAGTGTTAGGGGTGAGGCTAGAGAGAGAGATAACTGAGATTGGTGGGGGCTTGGCGGTGTGGCCCCAGCAGACTGAGGCTGAGTTGAACAGGGAGTTTTGAACATTGGCCCCTTCTGGAGTAGACTTTTCCGGGCCGCGTGGTACAGGGCTTACCTTCTCTTAGGTCTGTGCAGCGTGCAGGTGTCATCTGCTTGCCATCTCCTTTCTCTTGAGCCCCAGGAGAGCTGTACAGTGAATATGCTTCCCCCCGCACCGCCCGCATCTTAGATAGCGCTGTTATCTTAGACAGCTGTTTCGGGGCATGACAGGTCATCCTTCCAATGGGGCCTTTCTCTGATGTCAAAGGTCACATCCTCCTGTTAGCATCCCATCTTGTCTTTCTCATCTCTTCAAGTTAAGAGAGTCCCAAGGGCCCTCCCTATTCTTCTGCCACTCCATGGCTCCCCTTCTCCCTGAGGAGCACCCCTCTGCAAGGAGCCCCCCTGAGTAAACTGGCAGGGTCATGTCCATTCCAAACTGCACACTTTCATGGGGGAAAATGGAAATGCTGGAGTGTGATTGGGATGTTGAGTAGGGCTGGTTTATTCTAAAAGAGAAAACTCAAGGACGTCATGCTCTCTGTCTTCAAATATCTGAGGGGCTGTCATGCTGAAAAGGGAAGGGATTTATTCAGTGTTGTTGGAGTGTGAAGGAAGAGGTGGATTAAAATTCAGTGTGCAGAGAAGACTTTTGCCAAAGAGTGCTGCTCAGCGCTGGCTGGTGCTATCTTTGGAGGGGGTGAGCCCTCTGTCACTGGAGGCGTGCAAGTATCCCTAAAGGATATTTAATAGGGAACTCATGATCTAGAGGCTGGGGGGACGCCCTACTGCCCAGCCTCTAAAGCTCCCATCCCCAAGAATCTACAGCTTTAGGATTGTTTTAAATAGGATGCCAGGAGTTGGGGAAGGAATTAAAGAAATTCACTGAAGTGAGGACCAAAAGCTATAAAAAAAAATCTTTATTTCATGTACCAGGATTTTTTTTTTCAGTTTTCTGCTTTTTAAAATTTTTTTTCTGTTAACAGTCTGAAAAAAAAAAAAAAAAAAAAAAGACCCACCAAGAAAATAAATGGAGGTTAGTTTCTTGAACTGGTCTGAGCTGGACATGAGCAATCATCCACACCCTGGGAAGCAACACCCTTGCAGTTCCGGTCCTGGCTCCTTCCCTCCGGACCCCCTAGCCCCCTTCTCAGCCACGACGATGTCACCCACACCCCAGTGGCTTTCTTCAGGCAGACCCAGAACCCAGGCCTCGCACCATGGAAGGAAGCACTGATTGCCCTCCCAAACGCTCTGTCGGAATTCAGAGAATCGGAGCTAGTTTTTCACTTCAGACAGTACCCACTTGGGTGCTGTTTCCTTGGGGCCTCTCCATTCTCCCTTGGCTCTTGTCCTTGATCCCTTTAGGTCTGGAATCTGGCGGGGTGGCGGGCAAGATTGGGGTGGGAGAGGGGTAGAGTTGAGTTTCTGCCCAGACTGGGGACAACTTGGTGGTGGTTACCACACGTTGAATTGTCTCCCATCGTTCTGCCCCAGGGCCCATGACCTCCCCCTGCACTTCTGGGCTGGGCGGGCCGATGTTCTGCCCTGTGCTGACCTGGGAAACTAACTTTCCTTTCCCAGGCAAAAGACAGGAAAGGCAGGTGAGATGTGCAAGCTCGAAAAGCCTTGCGAGCCATTCTCTAGAACTCCCCAGAGAGCTCAACCTCAGGAAATGCCAGTGTTAAGAAAGATGCAAACCGAGGGAGACTCACAGGCAGAGGCAGGGGGCCTCACCTTGACCTTCAGTCACCTGGGAGTGACTTGCAGCCTGTTCTGAAATTTCCAGTTCAGGAAAGTTGTTGGATTTCTGACAGTCTGAACTGGCCCTTGTCACTCTGGGGAAGAAAGGGGAGAAACAAAGGATGCCCCTGGCCTTTAGTCTGTGGTGCAAGTTTAACTTTTGGGGTTGGTCCTTACACTGGGACGGAACTGCTAACATTTTCCTCTCCATCCCTTCAGCCTTAAGCCCTCCCAGCAAACCTCAGAGGATGCTCTTTTTCACAGATCCCCAAAGATACTGGGAAAGCTCTGGTGGCAGATCTCTTCTTCCAAGGAAGCCTCCTTAACTCTCCATGATCGCAGCAAGGGGACACAAAGTGAAGAAGGCCTTTGGGGACCCCTGTGTCTTTCCCTTCTTTGCCTGAACAGCGTTACGTTTGCTCACATGTGTGTATTTTTGCTTTGACATTGGATGTGGGGCAGGGGTTTGGGGAGCACAGTGAGGAGGTATATGGTGTGTGTGTGTGTGTGTGTCTGAGAGGCTGACTGATGATGAGCCTGGGGGCCTGGTGGCAGCTGTCCTGGTCATCCCTGGCATATCCTTGGGGCAGGTGGCAGATCTGAAGTCACAGATACATAGAGCAAGAATGGGCCTTTAGTGCTTATCTGGGTCAATCCACATGCTTACATGGGGGGAAAATTAAGGGCCAGAGAGGCCATGCAGCAAGGAATTCCGGAATCCAGTCCTGGATTCTAGATGGGTGCCCTTCCCATGCATGCGAGTGGTGTGTGCGTGTGTGTGTGTGTGTGTATGCATGCATGTGTGTGTTCATGTGTGTGCTGTGTTGGAAGGGTCTGAATGAACACAAAGGCCAGTGTGGAGTTGTTGTGGTCCATGGCTGTGGAGGGCATGACTCAATTTCCTTTGAGCCATGCCCCTGGCTATGTATGGGATGGAAGGGTTGAGACTGAGTGTGTCCCTGTGAGTGACTGCGGTGCTGGGCTAAGTGGACTGTGTATGTGTGTGTGAACGTGCATGCATGCGTGCGCGTGGGGCATGTGGTCTCTTTGTTGGATTCTGTCTTCCCCCATTCACAGCACCTTCCTGGTCTGAGGAAGCCACCTTTCCATCACAGAGACCTCCTGCAGCTCACTAGGACCTTCCCCTACTCCCTCCAACCTTCAAGCCCAGCTCTCACCTCTCACGACGGTTTTGCTTTGTTTTTGTAAATGGATTTGTATATTCGTTTTCTGTTTTTTTTTTTCTTTACAAGTTCCCTGCTAAATTTTAAGTCCCCCACCCCACCCCATTTTTTGTTTTCACAGTTTAAAGCTGGAAAAGAATTAAAAGAAAAATACTATCTGATTTTCTTGCAAGTAAATCCACTTATTTTATATTTACATTTATTTATAGTCTGTGGTTTTTTTATTAAAAAAAAATCACCACTTGTTTTTCCTTTTTCTTTTGTAAAAAGAAACCTTTTTGCAGTGTCATTGTTGAACCCGCTGGGCCCCAAGAGGGCATCAGTGAGTCCAAGGACCCCCAAAGGGTCAATGAACCCCCTTCCCAGGGAACTGGGGGCCTTATGAGTCTGGGGGTCCACCATCACCCCAGGGTCATCAGGTGGCCCTGAGGTGAGGGGTGAGGAGGGAGAGCTGTTTCATGTCCCCCGGGGTTGGGTGTCTCCTGACCCCAAGGACAGGAGCTTGGGGACATGACCCCAAGAGGCTCACCCTGAGGACTCCGGGGTTTCCGGCATCTTGGTAAGCCACCGGCGGCCTCCCCTCTCCTTCCCTTTCCTCAAGGCCTAGGAAGTCATCACAGTGGGTTAAGGACCATTAAGGACTGGGAACCTGGGGCCAGGCAAGCCCCAAGTGTACCCTGCTCCAGGCACCCTAACGGAGAGGAGGGACAAGGGCTCGGTCACCTGGAGGCCTACAATTGCCCCATCAATGCTGGGTGGGGGCGGCTCAAGCCCTGAGCCTTCCCCGCGTTCCTGGGGCACCCACCCAGGGGCTCCAAGGACCTGGCAGTGACTGCAGGCTCACCTGGCCCCGGGGCCCCTGAGTCTCGCCCCCCACTCTCCCAGGGAGGCAGGGCCCACTGGGGGTTAAAGGGAACAGAAAAGTAACTCTCCCGGCGTTAAAAAAAATAATAACATAAACCCTGAAAAATACAAAGGACATCCCCTTTCCTTTCTGTTCATATATATTTTTTTTTGCTTTAATGTTATCTTGGTTCCCTTTTATTTTTTCATTTAAATTGATTTTTATTAAATGTTAAAATAATGGTACATGGGAAATCATGCATTTTCTTTTAGATTTATTTTCTATTTTTAATTTTTTATCCCTCTCGCTTTTTTTTAGAGTTTGTTTTTCTTCCTTCGTTTATGTTTTCCCACATTTCCTGTTGTTTTGCTTCTTTGTTCCTCTTATATTTTGTTCTTTTTTTTAAAATTTACTTGTTATGTTTTTCTCTTTTTTTGTGGTGTGTGTGTGTGGTTTTTTTTTTTTTTTTTTTTTTCTTTCGCTTTTGGGAGGTCTCCCCGCGGATGGTCTGGGTGCCCCCGCCCCGCCCCGCCCCGCCCCCGGGGACCGCGCCCTCCTCCCGGCTCGGCCCCGGTGCTGGCGAGGCCCCGCGGTTTTCATACGGGGGTGGTCCGGCGGTTGGCTGTGTTGGAGTGGAGAGAGTCCTTGTTCTCCTTCTGGATACAGTTGTGAACCTGGAGGAAGCTGTTATCCCTGTCGGAGTTGTAGGTGGCGGTGGGCGTGGTGGCGGCCTTCAGGGGATCCCTGCTGAGCGTGTACATGGAGATCTCCGTGGACGGCAGGGTGTTGAAGCCCTTGATACCCACGGGGGAGGCGTCCCTGGAGTGTGAGGGCTCCGTGGAGCGCGAGCTTGAGCGGCTGCGGCGCTGGTAGCGGTAGCGGTAGCTGGGGATGCGGGTGATGGCAGAGGCCTGGAGGTAGTCCGTGGCGCGGGCCGTGGCCCGCAGCTGTTTGTGCCGGTCGATAAACATGTGCACCGCCAGCACCCCGACCATCTCGGCGATGATGAAGGACAGGGCCCCGAAGTAGAAGGACCAGCCGTATGAGTAACTATTCTTTTTGGAGTCGCTCTTGGAGGGGTCTCCGGCATTGGCAGATATGTACACTATGATGCCAATGATGTTACTGAGACCTGCGGGGTGCAGGGTGGCGGGGTGGGGGGATCAGAGAGAAGGACGTTAGTTTCTCAGGAAGTCGGCCACTGGGCAGCCCTAAAGGTCGGGGACAGCTCTGTGGGCCTTCCCGGGTCCCGCGTTTTCATGAACAGGTGGGGCAGTGTAGAGGGACATCTGCCAGCTTCCCCTTAACATTTTCTTTCCATTCAGAGAGAGCCACAAGGGAAGCGTTAATGGAAACAGACATGGGCAGGGCGGGAGAAGGAAGGCATTTCACAAGGTGCTGAGTAACTGATATTGTTCACTGAGGCTTCACTACCTGCTTTCACTGCTTGGTGCTTCTCAAGCAGGGCACAGATGAGGAGACAAGCACAGAGAGGTTAAGGAACTTGCTTAAGGCTGCACAGGGCTTTGAAGCTGGTGTAGCAGCGGGTGAAGGTGGGCTCCTGGAGCCAGGCTGCCAGTGTTCAAAGCCTTGGCAAGTTAACCTTGGTTTGAGTTTCCAGATCTGTAGAATGGGAGTCAGGTTAAGCCTTATTCTTTAGGGTCACGGAGAAGGTTAAAAGGGTGAATACATGTGAGTACTTTTAGATGTTGGTGGTTCTTTTCTTTTTTTTTTTTTTTAGATAGAGTCTTGCTCTGTCACCCAGGCTGGAGTGCAGTGGTGTGATCATAGCTCACTGCAAGTCTCAAACTCCTGGGATCAAGCGATCCTCCCACCTCAGCCTCTCTAGTAGCTGGGATTATGGATGTGCCACCACGCCCAGCTGATTAAAAGAAAAAAATTTTTGTAGAGACACGGTCTTGAGGCCTCGCTATGTTGCCCAGGCTGGTCTCGAACTCCTGAGCTCAAGCAATCCTCCTGTCTCAGCCTCCCAAAGTGCTGGGATTGCAAGCATGAGCCACTGCACCCGGCCTGATGTTGGTCATTCTTATTAAATGGCTCAGGCTACACCCAGGTTCTTTTTCTGGCATCTGAAGTGAGTGTGACTCATCTGTCATGTAACTGGGCTCAGACTTCTGGATGTGGGTGCCTGCCTGCTCCCACCTGGGTGGAACAGTGAGGGGAGAGTCCACCCTTGGTTTCCAAGGTGAAGCTGAGTATCCCATAGGGGTTGGAACAGCGAGGTACTTGGGTGCCCTCTCTCCAGCCTCCTCATGGGTTTACTTGCACCAAGAGGGAGAAGGGCAAGTGGCAATTGGCCAAGTACCCTGAGAGGAAGCGGGGATTTGGGCCTTTTTCCAAGTGGTGGGAAGAAGATGGGCCACTAGGCCAAGGGATGGGATATGGGGATGCTCCTGGAGGATTTGGTGGAGGCTCAGGCGTTGCTACAGGACAGGAGCCCCCACCACAACCTTTCTCCCCTGCAACACGACCTAGTGCAAGTCCTGGAGATTCCTCTCCTGTCTCCCCATCTCTCTCTGCCAGGCCCTCGTGGCCCCTAAGCACCCAGACCCCAGCCTTCTTCCCAGTGGCAGGCCTGGACTCCAGCCCACTCAGATCAGTGGCTGTTACCTGCAGACACAAAGAAGATGCCGGCACTCAGGATGATGTTGTGTCGAGTTTTGTAGAACTCGCTGGCTGCGATGCAGAGGCCACCCATGAAAAGCAGAATCACACTCAGGATCGGGAAAATGCTTGAGGCCCTCACGGCCCCTGTGGAACACAGAGAGTCAGGGAGAAAGAGAACGACATGGCTGTGAGACTGAGGCGCACAGAGGCAGGTGGGAGAGCAGCCCTGAGGCGCTGGGGGTTTACGGACACAGCCTTAGAGGAGAGGCTGCTTTGCAATCCCAGGGAGAGAGAGATAGCAAGCAAGCCACTGCCCAGCTCACAGCCCTGTAGGAGCTCCCCAGTGCCTCCAGGGCCAAACTCCAGCATGCCATCAGGCACACAGGGCCCTGTGTGACTTGGCCTCTGCCCTCTTCCAGCTCTCACGGCTCCCAGTCCTCATGTTCTGTCTTGTCCCACCACAGCAAACTTCCCATGACGTGTCATTTCATGCTGCTGACTTTTGAAATACAGAGCTTCCTACTGGAATGTCTTTCCTATTCTTCAGTCAGCAAACTCTTCTTCATCCTTCAAAACCCAGCTCTAAGTCCCCTCTTCTGTAAAGCCTTCCCTGACTTCCTTAGGCAAAATTACGAGCTCCCTCGTCTACGCGTTGGGGCCCTTGGGCACGTTGAGAGGCAGTGTGGTACAGTGGTTAGGTGGAACCACATGGCTTGGATTTGTGTCTGGCTGCAGCATTTATTAGCTGTGCAATAAAAAATGTATCTCACCTCTGTGTGCCTCAGTTTCCCCATCTGTTAAGCAGGGATGGTAATAATGCCAAGCTCCTAAGATTGTTGTGAGGATTAAATGAGTTGATTCAGGCAATGCACTTAGATAGGTTTCTGGCGTCTATAATAAACATTCAACGCAGGATATTATAATAAATATTGGTGTATACATATGCTTCCACCATGAACCATGGGTCAGGAGGCAAGGACTGGGACTTTACAAAGAAAGCATTTCTTCTCGTTATCCTCTCTGTCCAGCGGCACAGTAGGCTGCCGATAGAAGCTCATGAAGTGAATAAACGTGGGGTTGTGGTCCAGAAGGAAGGAACAGGCACATTGCAAAGAAAACAAAGAAGAGAAACCCTTCCGGATAAGGACTGACAAACAGGACCGGAGAAGAAAAGAATATGGTAATGAAAAGGGAGAAATAGAAGGCGAGGGCCAGGGCTCCTATAGTTGGGGGTGGATGGGGGAAAAGGGGGGCAGGCAGCTAAGGGCAGAGGCCAGGGTTACATGTGTTTGTGGGGGGAGCAGCACCTGAATGAGGACCCAGAGGTGTTGGGGAGCCCTTCACAAAGTGTCTTTGCGAAGTAAAACATTTTTTTTTTCTATCCAAATTCAAATAGGCAGCTAGTGACCTCAGGACCCAGCTCTGTGACCTCAGGACCCAGCCATGGGCCAGGCAGGTGGCAGGGCCGGCTTGAGGCAGGGGTGAGGGAAAATATGTCTTTTTTATTATTATTATTTTTTGAGACAGAGTCTCCCCATCGCCCAGGCTGGAGTGCAGTGGGGCGATCTCGGCTCACTGCAACCTCTGCCTCCTGGGTTCAAGTGATTCTCCTGCCTCAGCCTCCCAAGTAGCTGGGATTACAGGCATGCACCACCATGCCTGGCTAATTTTTGTACTTTTAGTAGAGAAGGGGGTTCACTATGTTGGCTAGGCTGATCTCGAACTCCTGACCTCGTGATCTGCCCACCTTGGCCTACCAAAGTGTTGTGCCCGGCCAAAGATGTCTTCTTTAAATGTTGCTTAAGTGGCTTCTAAGGAAGTCGAGTCCTGATAAATTACAGGGCCCTCTGGCCAAGCCCAGGGATTGGTCAGGGAGGTTGGTTTTGGAGGGGAAGGTGCCAGGAGTGGCGCTTCCTCTTATCCCCATCCCTGTCCCCACCCCTTTGGGTGGCAGTGTGTTCAAGAAGGATCCGTGAGAAGAGAATTTCTCTATATAGAACTGTAGGGATTTTTCTTTTTCTTTTTTAAAATTTATTTTTATTTTTTGAGATGGAGCCTTGCTCTGTTGCCCAGGCTGGAGCGTAATGGTGTGATCTTGGCTCACTGCATTCTCCACCTCCCGGGTTCAAGCGATTCTCCTGCCTCAGCCTCCCAAGTAGCTGGGATTACAGGTGTGCACCATCACACCCAGCTAGTTTTTGTATTTTTAGTAGAGACAGGGTTTCGCCATGTTGACCAGGCTGGTCTTGAACTCCTGAACTCAAGCGGTCTGCCCGCCTCGGCCTCCCAAAGTGCTGGGATTACAGGCGTTGAAAGGGGATTTTAGGCAGTTTGCTGAGATGTGTGTGATGTAAAAACCCTTCTTCTGTCCCAGTCATGGATCTGCAGCATAGTCTACATTGCTCACGAATGGGTGAGTGGGTTATCTGGGGGGACTTGAACAAGGGCAGAGCTTTTGGGGCAAAACCGCACTGCGTATAGGGAAGCAGGGGTGGGAGGATGGGGGCCTGAGGCGGCTGGGCTACTCTGCAGCCTCAGCACCCTCCTTCTCTTGGGCGGGATGGGGTTTCTCCCTCCCCAGACCCAGGGAGGTGTTCTCTCCTTGCAAATCATTGCTAAGACAACACGCTGTGTCCTCAACCTGATCCCCCAGCCCAAACACACCCACATCCACACCCATGCATGCACAGACATGCATGACTAAAAAGCCACCTTAACTTGAATCTTTATAAGCAAGTGAGGATGGTGAGAGCTCATTGAAAACCCAGGAGAAGAGAGAGAATATTTGTTAAGCATCCACTCTGGGTTGGGTCTTGAGCGGGTACCTAACATATATGATATAATTTCATCCTCATAACAGCCCGGCAGCGTGTGTTTTTTTTGGCCCCAATCTACAAACAAGAAAACTGAGTTTCAGAGAGAGAAACTCCCCTGCCACCAGCTAGTGAACCAGGATTCATATCCAGACCAGCTCAACTTTGGGAGCACCCTGTAGTCTCCCTATGTGACTTCCAAGGAGCCCAGAAAGGGTGGGCGCCACAGAGCCTGGAGAACTGGGTTTGGGTCCTAGCTGTGCCACTCACTTGCTGTGTGGCTAAGGCAGGTGACGCGCCTCCTCTGTTTTTCCCCTGTGTAACATGGGGTATGGACCGTTAGATGGTTTCTTTTTGTTTGTTTGTTTTAGAGAGAGATTCTTGCTCTATACCCCAGGCGGAGTGCAGTGGCATGATCTTGGCTCAGTGCAACCTCCGTCTTCTGGGTTCAAGCAATTCTCCTGCCTCAGCCTCCCAAGCAGCTGGGATTATAGGCGCCTGCCACCATGCCTGGCTAATTCTTGTATTTTTAGTAGAGGTGGGTTTTCGCCATGTTGGCCAGGCTGGTCTCGAACTCTTAACCTCAGGTGATCCACCCGGCCTCCCAAAGTGCTGGGATTACAGGCCTGAGCCACCACTCTCGGCAGTTAGATAGTTTCTAATAGCTCTGCCCTTTCCATATGGACATGGTCCTGGCCAGCCGCAAAGGGGAATGACAGAAGAAAGAAGGAAAGAAAGAAAGAGGCCGGTATGGTTTCCGAGGGGCAGCAGCAGCAGCAGCTCAGAGGAACAGGCAGAAGAAAGGCTCTGGCCTTCCCCCTCCAAGAAAGTGGGCTCTTCCTACCCACGGGATGCCTGCAGGTGGCCGACCCAATTGTGTCCTCAGAGCAAATGGACTCACAGCAGCCCAGGGTTTGATTTTTCCAGTTGCGCCCCATCCGCTGTGGGAACCCGGATGCCCCAGCTCAGCCTTCCTGCCCGCAGGGGGAGGGAGGGTCGGCTGCGGAGGGAGCTGGGATGCACGCGTGTGTGTGCGCCAGAGGCCAGGCATGTGTGGACAAGATGGAGGGCGGCAGGGGAGGAGGGAGGGGTCTGCTGTGTTGCAGCCAGCAAAGAGCAATGTGGAGGAATCAGAACGGCTTCAGAAGCCACCAAGGCAGCGTATGACATGCTCTAAATAATGGCCACCAGCGGGGAATACACACAGAAGCCTCTTCGGCACAGCAGAGCCAGCCCCAAGCTCTGGCCTCTCTTGGAAGAGGCCCCTTTGCCGAGAAAGAAGGCAACAGGCCGGGTGCGGTGGCTCACACCTGTAATCCCAGCACTTTGGGAGGCCGAGGTGGGTGGATCACCTGAATTCAGGCGTTCGAAACCAGCCTGGCTAACATGGTGAAACCCCGCCTCTACTGAAAAAAAATACAAAAATTAGCCGGGCATGGTGGCGCATGCCTATAGTCCCAGCGACTAGGGGGGCTGAGGCAGGAGGATGGCTTGGACTTGGGAGGCGGAGGTTGCAGTGAGCTGAGATCGTGCCACTGCACCCCAGCCTGGGCAATAGAGCAAGACTCCATCTCAAAAAAGAAAAAAGACAACAGTGGGCAACTAACAAATAGCACCTAAGCACAAATAGCTTAGGCCACCAGACTTGGCAGGGCCCAGATCCAGGTGGGAAGGAAGCTGATTTAGGAGCAAGCAGGGACTCCTACATTGGAGAAGTTTCTTGAAGGAGGTATTTCTGGCTGGGTAGTGTCACAAATGGAATAGGGATTTTGGAGTTAGTCACACTTGACTTTGAATCCTGGCTTTGTCACTTATCAAAAGTGTGACCCTTGGGCAGGAGTCATTACTGCTCTGAGCCTCAGTTTCCCCATCCTGTGAAATGGGAATAATAAAAATAATCTGTAGCTTATAGGAATGTTTTAAGGCTTTGCTGCTGCAAGTGCAGCCTGAGGCCCAGCAGCACTGGCATCTAGTTAGAAAGGCAGTCCTGCCAGGCATGGTGGCTCATGCCTGTAATCCTAGTACTTTGGGAGGCTGAGGCGAGCGGATCACCTGCGGTCAGGAGTTCGAGACCAACCTGGCCAGCATGGCGAAGCCTTGCTTCTACTAAAAATACAAAATTTAGCCAGGCATGATGGTGGGCACTTGTAATCCCAGCTACTTGGGAGGCTGAGGCAGGAGAATTGCTTGAACCCGGGAGGCGGAGGTTGCAGTAAACTGAGATTGCGCCACTGCACTCTAACCTGGGTGACAGAGCGAGGCTCCATCTCAGAAAAAAAGAAAAAAAGAAATGCCGCCCCTCAGCTCTTTCCCCCAATTGAGTCATAATCT